TCCATTGTGGCGTAAACATAGGTGGTCGCCATACCGACGGCGCCACCTACATCATGTTCCTCTTGAGCACGAGGTTCGATAATTTAGAAGAGGAGGTACAGCTCTCATTGACTTCCGAGTCCATGCGGGAGAACGCATTGACCAGACGTTAGCGCGTCTTGAGATAGCCCGCTATGAAGCTCAAACGGCTGGCTTCAATTTCCCCAACCTCCAAATCTTAACAGCGATTTTATTTAGAGCTCTTGGAATGGGGACATCGCGCGCGCAACAACTCCTGCAGCCTCTGAACCACTACGCGCAAAGAGACCAACAACAATTTGACGCTCTACTCGAACGTATGAGGTCATATGCTCACATTGCTGGGGGAACCCCTAGTTCTATTGGTGGTATTTTCAGTCACGGTCGCCAGGCCGAGACCTCTTTCACGTGGAGGCTAACGCAGGGCAGCCTGCTATCAACGTCTGGAATGATGATCCACAGCCAACTGAGACCACGACACTGCTGGCTCAGAATGGCGGAGATGCCTCGGGGTCGTAAGACCCCCGGGCCAGGCTTCGGGGGCCGCCCGACGCGGCATCCCCCGCGCAAGCCATGGCCGCAATGGGCTCAGCGGGGCATCCTGCCGCGTCCGACTTCGACTCCGGTATTGATGCGATGCGTGCTCGGGCGATGAAATCACAGCCCTTGACTACTCGGATATGCCAACATACCTCGCGGAAGAGCAACAGGCGCAATGGATATTTTTAGGAAACCAAAAACATAGGCGCGGATGGCGGCGATTCATAAAGAAACCAGTCCGCAAGGTACGGCGTATCGTACAACGAGCACTCAAGGGAAAAGGCAAGGGTCGAAGTAAGGGTAAAGGTGACCGTCGGCGATTGCGCGGTAGAGGCATATTAGCATTTCTAGCATCGTTTACCAGGCCACAGTGTGAGGACATGTTTTCCGCATATTCTAAGTGTGGGTGTCTTGTTATTGGCGGACCGCGCTGGAAGAGAACACAGGCGAGAGCGCGCCATTCCTTTCATTCAGACCCATTCAGACTCACTCATCACGCAGACTCGCTCATCACTCAGACTCACTCATCACTCAGACTCATTCATCACTCAGACCCAATCATCACTCAGACTCACTTATCACTCAGACTCACTCATCACTCGGACACAGGCAAGACTCAGACTCATCTCTCCGACTCCCTCATCACTCAGACTCACTCATCATTCAGACTCACTCATCACTCAGACTCACTCGTATCTGTACTCATACATTCACTGCACTCACTCAGGTCCACTCATCGGATGACTCACACGCACGCACTGATGTTGAGGATGTCTCAGGCGATTCTGTGGCTTCAGCACTCCTACAGGGAGCGGCGGGGGGTGTTGCACTCGGCCTCTTTCGCGGGATGTTGTGGGGATGTCTCAGGCGGTTTGGCCGTTTTCTCTTCAACATGTTTCGCTTTCGGAGCAGATTTGGAGGGTGTCTCAGGCGATTTGCTGGTTTCAGCACTCTAAGGGGGGCGGCGTGTGTGTGTGTGTGTGTGCTGTACTCGGCCCCTTTTCGCGGAATTTTGTGGGGATGTCTCAGGCGGTTTGGCCATTTTCTCTTCCAGCGTGTTTCGCTTCCGGGGCAGATTTGGAGGATTTCTCATGCGATTTGCCGGTTTCAGCGCTCTAAGGGGGGCGGCGGGGGGGGCGTTGCGCTCGGCCCCTTTCGCGGGATTTTGTGGGGGTGTCTCGGGCGGTTTGGCCATTGTCTCTTCCAACATGTTTCGCTTTCGGAGCAGATCTGGAGGATGTCTCAGGCGATTCGCTGGTTTCAGCGCTCTAAGGGGGGCGGCGGGGGGGTACCTCATTCGGTCCCGTTCGCGGGATTTTCTGGGGATGTCTCAGGCGGTTTGGTGTTTCTTGCCCAGCATCTGTCGATTTTGGAGCCCACGAACAGGAATGAGAGGAGGGGGGGGGGAAGCGGAGGAGGAAGGGGCAGGCAGAGGAGGAGGAGGAGGCGAGCATGAGCACGAGTAGGAGCAGGATCAGGAAGGGTACGATGATGATGAGGATGATGGTGACGATGAGGACGAGTATGATGATGATGAGGATGTTGATGATGATGCTGCTGATGAAGGTGAAGATGAAGATGAATCTGAAGATGATGATGATGATGATCATGATGATGATGATGATCATGATGATGATGATGATGATGATGATGATGATGATTATGCTGCTGTTTGCCCTGCTCGCTCGGAGGCTTCTGGGGCAGGAGCAGAATAAGGAGGGGGCCAGGAGGAGGAGGCCAGGAGGAGGGGTCGGAGGAGGACGAGTGGAGGAGAAGGAGGAAAAGGAGGGCTCGAGGGGGGGAGGGGAATCTGAGGAGGGCGAAGGGGGGGGGGGAGTTCCTGGGGGCGGAGCAGGAGCAGAGCTGATGATGATGGTGATGGACGATGAGGAGAATGAGGAGGAGGAGGCTGGGGGGGGAAAGAGGAGGACGAGGCTGATGA